ATAGACATACGGCACGTTCGCACCCAGAAAAAGTCGCAGTGCGAAACGAGGATCTGGTAACATAATCTGAAATCAATGGTTTAATGATATAGTTCTAGCGAGGACTAAGCGCAAGTGAGAGGGTGATATAAATAAAAGTGGATTTCACTATAAAGCAATGCCATGAGAAAACAGTGTTGATAATAACGTTATCTATTTACAAATAAAGGCTTTAGTGACCTACCTTGTAAATATCGGGTTTGCAGCCAAGAATCATAGCAACTTCGTCCATGTATTTGACGTAGTCAACCTATATATCATAACAAAAGGTATTTGATATATCCAGTCGTGAATTACAGCATTTGAATACCTGTATGGTGTGTTTTTCACTTTGGAAGTATCGTCTTTTCATCAGCGCTCTTTTACGAGCTATGTCTTCCAACATTACTTGTTTAGGTGGCAGCGAAAGGTTGCCGAGGAATACTTGGATGGCCCATCGACACTGAAAACTTCGATTTTCCAGTTTCCAATATTCGTCTCCTCTTTCATTCATTCGTTGTTTATTCATTTAATGTTTACCTGGGCATAAGACCACCTACGCAACTGCATGCTTATTATAGACCAATTCTCCTCGATTGCGCAAATTTTTCCTGTATGTCACACTCTTCAAAAAGGATAACTCTATAAAGGCCCCCAAAGATAGGCACCTTACAGCTAGCATTGCTTATATTCGAAAAAATCAAATTACCCTGTCTGTTATCATCTGCTATCCTAGCCAACTTTCATGGCAATCATCCAAAATTTTTCTCTCGACACGTCAACGTTAGGAGACTTACAAAGGAAGGATACTTAGTCCAAATGACGATTCAGAAAAGGAGTTTACTAATATATGCAGTTTCAGATGCTGCTTCCAAATTTGTCTTCCATAACTGCGAAGCGTTCCTGGAAGAAGTTATGAGCGTTTGAAAATTCCAAGCGATAGCACCACCTTTATCTAAGACAACCAATGTTTATCGAAGAAAATGGCGGATAGTGCAGTGGTGTGTGGTTTGTTGAAGTGATTGATGTGGGTTCAATTCTCTCCACCGTCAAACCCTTTTGCATTTTCTTAAAAATGTTTTTATGCATAAATGAATGTTATTCACGAGTGAATAACATATCTTCTAAGTGATGGTTTTAAACAAAATTTTAAAAATGTGAGCGTATTCACTTTCTATAACATTTATTCTCCTCAAGCATGCTTTGATAACTTATTATCAAGCAAAGGATACCTTTCATGAACATGCATGATATGTGGAAAGTGTGTGAAGCATAGATGCTTCTCGCAGTGAGCACAGCGAATAAAAGTTACTCCATTGCAGCCACTACTTTATCATACCAGTCTACCATCAAGCTGGGAGAAAAACAAAACTGACTAGGTATTTCACACGAGCCAGGATGTTCTTCTACATAGCCAACCGCATAGCACAAACAGATGGAATTTTCAAAACGGAGAGAGCAAAATTGCGAATAGATGAGCGAAAGGAATGTGAGTTTGAAACTATGGTCTAATGGAAATTCAATATCGTGGACAGATACATATGAAACGTTATACATAGCCCTAAACGGTAGGTGACGTTCACATCTTGAAATTTTGATAAAACCGTCACTTAAGTGAATATGCGTCATTCATACATAATAACAATCATTGACGCAAAAAAAAACATTTTTAAGAGAAACGCTTTGCAGATATGGAAGACAGATTTGGAATCAGCGTCTGAAACTGCATCCATCAGCACACATCACTTTTTGAATCGCCACTTCGACTAAGTATCCTTCCCTTGTAAGAAAACTAATCATATTCTAATAGTCAGCTGGACACATGCGGCTCACGCGTAGCTTCGAAACCATATACCAAGTAAGTAAGACATTATGTGTTCATTATCCCAAAAAAGTCAATTTATTTGTTTATTTGTCCATTCATTCATTCATCCAGCTTCCATTTCGTCCATTCATTCATTATCTCGTCCACTTGTCAATGCACTTATTGACTGATTGATTGATTGATTGATTTATTCATTCATTCATTCATTCATTCATTCATTCATTCATTCATTCATTCATTCATTCATTCATTCAT